GGGACTGTAATCACAGTTTCTCATGACAGATACTTCATAAAGCAAATTGTTAATCGGGTTTTGGAAGTGAAAGATGGGGTTCTTCAGGACTATTCAGGAGACTACGATGTAAGTCGTGAGTCTCTGCACTTGGACGTGGGATACTTTCATTTTCATTTTTCACAAATTTTTGTTCGAAGATATAACTTTTTCAGGAAAAAAAAAATAAATCACAAATTGTTTCTATTCCCAATTAAAAAAAAGCAAATCATTACTGCACATATCCATGCATATCATTTTAAAATTGTCAATCATCATTTTATTATTTGTACATCAATCCTCTATCATCATGAGTTTTTCTTTTTCATCCATTTTGAGTTGTGACTCCATTTTAATTAGCTTTTATTTTCTTATTACTGTCAGTATTATTTGGAGAAAAATCTTGAAGCAAGAGAAAGGGAGCTCGAACGGGAGGCAGAGCTTGAAGACAAATCTCCGAAAGCCAAAGCTAAATCCAAGATGTCCAAGGTAAGTATAATTTCGATGATTCTTTCATTATTCTTTCAATTGTAAGCTTTGTTACTTGTTAACTCACCTTTAGTATACTAATTGTCCTTGTAATTTATTTATCGTCGAACATTTTAACCAGGCCGAAAGGGAAGTTAGGAAGAAACAGAAAATGCAGTCATTTCAAGCAGTCATTTCAAGGATGAATGTATCCAGTATTGAATCAAGACAAGCATATAATTTAGATAAGTTGTTAAAAAGCATATAATTTAGATAAGTTGTTAAAAAGGCTCTTTTAAATGATTATTATTTTTTTTTTATTTTTTTTTTGAAATACCACATTCAAAATAAATCATACATAAATCATTCAAAAACTAGTTATAAACAAAAAAATGCAATTTAAAAATCATTGACAAAAATAAACTACATATCAACATGTACCGTGATTTTTTACAACATGTCTTCAAGAAAGCGACAATTAGATAGGTTTTGTTTGTTAAAAATATTATTTAGATATACATGACAAAATTGTAAATGTGATAACAATATAAAAATTGAAAATCAAAATATGTCGAGCTGACATGTAAATTATTAGTTAAGAAATAGAAATAAAAATATTTATAATATATAATGTTACAAATTATGATAAAAAAAATCCGGATAATGTGTAGAATTATCCAGGTAAATTATTAACTTAGAGTTTTTGTTTTGTAATGTATATTGTTATAAATTACAACGATAAACCCACAAGTTATCAGTGATGTAAATTGTCAGTTTAGCCAAAAAAAAAATATTTATAATGTACATTGTTATTAATTGTAAGGAATCCATCGGCGTCGAACTTTCATATAAATTAGTAAATTACAAATAAAATTCAAAATACTTTTAATATACATCTTTGTAAATTATAAAAAATAAAATAAAATAAAATAATATTGATGTAACTTAAAATTATAAAAAAACTTTAACTTCAAAATAATATAAATTACATTCTTTTTTCAATCAATTGTTTGTTATAATATTTGTCTAAAAATTTTAGTTTTAGCATAACTTATTAGGAATTAAAATATTGTAATAACGTATGAATAAACGAAGATAGATAGAGAAATATTCTGTGAGTATTATCTAAATAACAGTTATTTTTTGAATATGTTAAATTTTCATTATCCTTGATGAAAACTATTTTACAACGAGTGAAATACACATATAAATCATATGTAAAATTAATAAGTGCATTTATTTTAGTACATATACACCATCTATAAATAATTGTGAATAACTCTTTCAAATGTGGCTCCATATTTGACTTCATAAATTGATGCATTGATATTTTTACCAAGTATATTTATTCCAGTGTACGTGTCTATACTCAATACACCATTTGAAAATAATTATGGAGAACTCAATAAATATCACTTCATTAACAACAAAAATGAAGAGTATGATTTTATATTATGCATATTATATTAGTAATTTATAAAGTAATAAATATTACATTTCTCAATAAAGGAACTAGGTTTTACATGCTTGAACGTTTTACATCATTGTTTCCAAAAATCTATGAAATTGGTCCCTTAAAGGGCCATTTTGTGGAGCCCAAAAGTATGAAGTTGTTGTGGGCCGACGGCATCAACTTTGAGGAAACCAAGGTAATGAAAACTAGGCGCAAATCCAAAGCCCCAAAGATGCGATAATGGCAGTCCAACTCTAGCCAAGCCACTATTATATTTAGGGAAAATTGCACAGTATACAATATATATCAGCTTTAATTACATAAATAAAACTTCATTGTAAATATTAACAAATATACAAGATTCCATCTTTATATTTGCAAAATTACCATATAATTAAGTCTCCATAATTAAAAGTGATTTATCACCTTCCAAACAAATTTATTTTCACATTCACGCAATCTCCCTCTCTCTCTCTCTCTCTCTCTCTCTCTCTCTCTCTCTCTCTCTCTCTCTCTCTCTCTCTCTCTCTCTCTCTTCTTCTTCTTCTTCTTCCGACCAATTAACTCCTCTCGATCTGGCTGTTTTTTTTTCTCATTCACATACACACATAAAGGTCGAATCTTTAATTTAATTTCGATCGATAGGAAGTAAAAATCAAAGAAAGAGAAAAAGCCCTTTTCGTGTTTGTTCATCATCTACGAAAAAAAATGGTGAAAAGCGATTTGAGATTTGAAACGGAGCTGAGGTTGGGGCTTCCCAGAGGCGGTCGCGGCGGAGGCGAAATGGAGAGGAACGAGATGAAGAGAATGTTTTCGGATATCGCTACCGCCGGTGGCAGCGGCGGGTGGAGGAGGGGAAGGTAGAGGCGGTGGAAAGTAAGAATCAAGTGGTGGGGATGCTGGGTGAAGATCGAAATTGGAATGAGATTCATGAGAATTATGAACAACTCGACGCCTGGATCTGAAATTATTTTCAGTATATGTACTGTATATGTTCAGTATATGTTCGGTATATATATATATATATAATTCCAGAAAATAGTATATGCTCCGTATACATATATAATTCTGGAAAATAGAATATGTTCTGTATATGTTCGGTATATGTTAGGTATACTTATATAAACCCCAATATATATATATATAAACAACAGATCGGAAAAAAGCCCAAAAAATATACATGTATACATAAATTAGTTTCAAAACGAAGATAATACATGTTTTTCGAATATATTAATTAGTTTATATACTGAATACGCAATATATACTGCATGGAATTGGGATGGAAAGAAATTGACACACAATATACCCGTAACTGAAAATCCCATCATTTGAGGAGGTGGTTACACTAAATATGGTAACTGAAAATATTCTGTTGTAGTGTATATGTATAAATAATTAACATGAAATTGGTAAACTTGCAAATAAAATTTGACCCTTGGTAGAATTATAATTTTTTCTAAATCATGTAGTATAAATAAAAATTCCCCTTTATGGGAGATTCTATGGTCGCATGACAAAACCATTCAGTCGATGTTTGTAATCGTTAAATCAACTATGCAGATGGTTAAAAATTTCAACGGAATGGTTCCATAACGGTATTGTAGCATTTTTCTTTATTTATATTAATATTAAAGTACAAAATTTGTTATATAATTTATTTAACTAGTATACATAGTAAAAAAGTTTGTTGTCCGGTACAATTTTATTAAAATGCACTATTGGACCCATTAATTATTTGTTTCTAATAAGTATATAATCTTAGGGGCCAAATCTTATGCAATGACTATAACATTAAACAAAATGAGTTAATCGTTAATTCGACTTGACTCGAATTGTTAAAAGCTCGTCAAGTTAATGAATCGTTTTTGCTCAATTTGTTAATACATATTGAATTAATAATCGAGTTTCACTCGACTCGATCAAGGTTCAAGTACGAATTTGAGTTTAACTCAATTTCAATAATTTAGCTTTTTTATACCACTATTGCAATTTTTTAATTCCACAAGTGAATAATGTAACATTTTTCACAATGATACCTATGCACTCCGAATAATGCTTAGGATATCTTTCGGATATAAAGAATCTTACTTATCTTCAATTAAGCATTTACAATGCTTGGGTCTAATTTCGTCTGTGTCATATAAATAGACTTAACACTTGTATGACATGGATAAAAATATACAAAATCAACAAAATTAACTTCAATGCAAATAGACTATGCCTCTAGTTGAGTCCAAAATAGACTTAAAAATAGATAGAGTCTCATTTTTTGCTTCCACATCAGCAGGACTGAGTCCACTTGCACTTGCATTGGAGAATATATTTTTCTTGACTGAGTCCATTTCTTACGTGACCGATATATTTTTTTTAAATGAACTAAAACATTGTGGATGCTCTCACGATATTAATTTTAACTAAATTTCGTGTTACTACTTAGGCTATGTTTGGTAAAACTAGTTGATGAGCTAGTTTATATAAGTTAATTTCGAGCTTATAGTTGATAGCTCATGATCTATGATTGAAAAACTAGCTGATACGATAAAAGTGTTTAGTGAAATTACCTGATAAGTCAGCTGAAATGAAATTTTTAATGGATTTATTTGAAAAGCTACGGCAAGAAGTTTATGATAGATAGACTCGAGCCTTTACGGACTATTCTTTCAGAATTTGTAACTGTTAGATCAATTATTTCTGACAATTATATGATGATCTAATAATTATAAACTCGACGAAATAATTCCATAACGAGAAGTTTAATATTTCTTAAACATTGATATAGGACATTATCATTCATACTATCGAATTCATGCACCCTAATTTTAGAATCATTTAATAAAATATTTGGTCAATGCAATGACACGTGAATGATACATACATGTTCGGTAGTAGTATTTTTTTGTGCGCGTCTTTATTGGAAGAAAGAGAAGAGCACGTGAGGAGGGGTTCCATTTTCAAGGTTACTTTGATTAAAAGCATCAATTATTAGTATTATTTTTTGTTTGTTGTTCACAAACTTCCAAAAATAGATTATTATATAATCTCTTTAATTATAGAAATCATTATCCTTATTAAATAATAAGTACTATAAGTAATAATACAAGTACAAGTATATAATAAACAAAAGAAGAAGTGTGGGTTGCTTGATGCAGCCCTCCTCCGGTGTGCCACCGTTGACCACCACCGTTGGTATGCTTAGAGCCGACAATTTAATGTCGTGATTACGTTTTAAGTGTTCGGCAGCCGACAATTTAAGAAGAAGTTTTTTTTACGTATTCGCTCGGTGATTCAACTTTATTATTCGTGAAATTCGAATCCAAATAAGAATAGTGTTATGCAGTCGATATTTACACGAATTTGAATTTGAATCCGATTGTACACAAATTCGATTCGTTAATAATAAGTTCGTATAAAAGTAGTGCTATATATGTATTGTGTTGGAATTAATAGTACTTGTGAGTCGTCCTACATTCATTTGAGGTGTAGAACCTACTTTAGAAACCCAATGAGCTACTCTTTTCATCACCAATTGGTTTTGTGATGGAATCTCACTAAGGTGCGACTAGGTTCAACCTCTTATGGTGCGGTTCAGTGCATGAGACTGCACCATTGATGCCCGATTATCAAAAAATTGACATGACATCGGAGCGTCCTAATTTGGGATCTGTGATGATTTAAGAATGTACCCGGCCTAGTTGTAATAATATGATGATTAATTAGTATAAATCACTATGTGAATTCATTGTCTAGTGTAGCAAGTACTATTAATTTTCATATAAAATAATGTAAATGTATATAAATATACATACTTTTTATATTGATCTAAGATGAATCAACTTATTGTCACCCTTGAAAGGTAGTACATCAATGGATGAAAAAATTGCACACGTACGTATTTTATCTTGTTTTTCCATTTTGATGAAAGATAGGAATCTCATTGGTCCACAACTTGAGGACATGAAATTGACCACAAGTGTTTATAAATAAGGAAAAGAATGCAACCCTATCACAGAATGGTTTCGTGCGGGATTTTAGCTATAAATTATCTATAATAACTAACTTGCATACATATTTAAAGACTAAAATCTCTCACGGAACAATTCCTGACGGGACTTTAGTCTTTTCCTATAAATTATAGTATATTATAGATCTTTCATAAATTAATTTCAATGACATTTATGTCACATTACTAACTTAATTTGTACCTATAATCAATACTTTTATTATCTTGAATTCAAATCATTCAAATCACAAATCATACATTACAGCTATGGTGTGAGGACAAAAGTTTTAATTCAAATTAAGAAGGTTGTTTTATATTTACCAAAATTTGACGAGTATGTCATCACATG